TATAGAAAATTAAAGATAAAAATTAAATTAAAGCTGATCTCCACCCAAACCTGACTTAAGCAGAGAGATTATTTCCACTTCGATCTACTGCATGATTTACAGACCGAAGGGCAACATGGCTGAAAAGGTAAGCCATTTAGGTGCAGATTACTGTCAAGGTTCTGTAGCCAGTATATGCCTTCATGAAAAATATCATGTGTCTGCAAAGGTCTCATATTCCTAGAAGAATGTCTCCTAGGCTGCATGCTTTTAACTGACGGCAACATGCCTCTTCTTGGAACAAAGGTTGCAGCATCTTTTTTATGATTCTTCCCTTTGTTTTCTTTGGCAGGCATGTTTGCTTTGTTCTTTGTTGCCCCTTTGCTACTAGAGGCTGCATCTTGCTTCCTTGTGAAAACAAAAGGGAGATTTGGATTGGAACTTGGAAGTTCAGTAATAAACTCACCAAGGCTAATTGTTTTGTTGTTGACATTAAGCTCCTTATCTGCCTTTGAGTCATTTGACTTAAAAGGAACACACTTGGCAGACGTCTTTGGAGACACGATTGCATTGACTAAATTTTGATTTGCCTCTTGAGAAGCTGCACTGTGTTTCTTCTTCTCCACCCAAATAAACTTTTGCCTCCCTGGTGGTTGTTGCCATTGCGAAGCATGCACCTCGGCAACATGTCTTTGACGCTCTTTAGCTCTTTTCTTTTGAAGCCGCCTTTGAAGAGTCCTAGGATTTTGGGTAAAGAACTCTGGGTGGGCCACCAGGTTTATATGGTGACCATGTCTAAATTGACTTTGTTTATAGAGGCAGCATTTACACATGCCTCCATGCTTTTCTACGATATCATGCCCCCCGTGCCTCCACTCAGAGACATGGGTTTGTTGCTTTTGTTCCTTCATTGGTGTCCAACAGAGGTCTTTAGATTTCTTCCTCCTTCTTCGACTTGGTAGATGCGAAGGCATGGTGTTTCTTATGTCACCTCCCATGTTATCCTTGTGGCTGCAAGGAAAATCTGAGAATTTCTTGTGAAAGCCACTTTGGAAAGAATCATTATTTTTTGAATATGGCCTACGGCATGTTGGACAACATGGTGGCCTACATGCCACCTGAGTGGCCTTGGGCAATGAGTCTGCAAACTGTTGAGGTGGACTAAGCTTGCACACATGCTTTTGCTGTGGCAGCATTGATTGGATGCTTGAATTGACATCTGGCTGCAACGGCACAAACCTTGCTGCCTCTTTTTCTATAGCTTTGTGAACTTCATTGGCAATCAGGTCTTGCAACCTTTGTTGTTCAATTTGACTAGGTTGCCCCCCGAGATTGGAAATGACTCCCCTCTTTAGACTAACGACTTTAAAAGGATATTTCACCTTCAGCCATTGTCCGTAATTGAACTTGAAAGGGCTTCGACCATTAAGAAAGCATGGTCGCCGCGAACACTTCTTAAGCAAGGCTGAAGAAATATGCTCATTAGTCTCAAAAGAAGTAGAAATAGATGAGGTAGATACCTTATCAGATTTATGTACTGATGCTGGCCAAAGTGTTGGCTTTTGTGTAGCAGCATCAGCTTTTTGTCGGCCATCAGATGGACCTTCATTGATCGATGGCTGACATGTCTGCACCTGAGTTGGTTTATGCCTCCCAGGAGTAAGAGGACTATTGCTAGTATTAGTCTTTCCAGACTTAAAATGACTTGGAGGCATACTTGTTGAAGTCGCCTCCGAAGCTGCATGGCGTTGCTGACTTTGGATAGCATGCTGCAATTGTGATTCATGCCCCCCGACTGTGATCATGGGGTTACTCTCTGACCTTAGTGTCGTCTGACCTTCATTTACAATTGTCATCTCTGTCACGTTTTGCGATTTGCAAAACTGCTTCAAAGTTCCTGGAGACGCGGCTGCATGGCACTTCTTTGAATCCTCCCTTAAAACCTCACTTTTGGGTTGAGGGGTTTTAAGTTCTGGAAGATTTGATTTGTATCCTTTCAACTTTTCCTCCAACCTCCTCATGCGTTCCTCAT